GAAATGAGAAAAGCAGAAGGAATCACGTGGTCTCAAAGTGTTCACTGTTTTTTTTCTGAATGTTTTTTCAATATGATTTTGAGCTTGATCCCACATCTGTCCTTGAAATTGCATCGCTGTATGGAACAAATTTTGACAGCAGAGCTGTCAGATATTTTCACTGCCAGCGGTAAGAAAGTAGTAGTGATTTTATTTTTTTTGCAGGCATGTATCCTGAGATTGAAAATGGAAAACACATGGGATTCTTCAAAAACAGCTGTGATAGAGCGATCATATGATGTTTTGCAATGCCTCACACTAAATCTATGACCTATCATGACCTATCCACATTTTTTGGCCCAACCACCCGGAGAAACATCCCATGACTACGCTTTGTTTCTGGACGGCAGCTGCAGCCGCCCCGCCGTCGGCGTCGCATCCTCGGCGCCCGAGGCCAGACGCCGCTGCATTTTGCGGCTTGGATTGGCCATGCCGCCGTGGTCGAGCAGCTGATCTCTGCGGGGGCCACGGTGGACACGGCCAACATACTCGGCCGTGGCCCCGGAAGGGTTTTCGGGTCGTTTTGGGAGTGGCTCTGACGAGGTCATGGAAGGGGTTCGTACATTGGCAGCTGATTTTCGTGTTTTGCTTTAGGATGTTGAGTGGTACGTGTCGTTTAAGGATCCACTTTGTGAGTGGATGGGCCTCTTGAAATTCGGGTGTAAGAAATGAGATGAAACGAGCAGAAAGCAGAAGGAATCACGTGGTCTCAAAGTGTTCATTGTTTTTTAAATGATTTTGAGCTTGAAACAAATTTTGAAACTGTGATCGCCTTTATGGAACAAATTTTGACAGCAGAACTGTCAGATATTTTCACTGCCACCGGTAGAATGTAGTGATTTTATTTTTGTTGCAGGCATGTATCCTGAGTTTGAAAATGGAAAACACATGGGCCATGGATCCCTGAAGAAACAGCTGTGAGGCATTGATTGTGCCAAACTTGACGCGACGAAACATTGAAAACTCAGCATGACAAATGGCGTGAGTGCCATGGGCTTGGGCACCTGGGCCAATCCCATTGGATAAGGCACGCAAACATCATATTGTTTCAAAAAACATCATTTTCCTGCCATCATGAGATTAGTGTACTCCATTTTGTTCAGTTTGGTAATCCCTGAATTTTTAACTTCAGAAAACGGTTTATCGGCACTTGGATAGTCCAAAGTCCAAAGTTATTCATGAAATAGTTTCTAAACACGCGACACTTGATGTTGTGAAAGTCAGGTGCAACTGCTGGTAAGATTTAAACAACACGATAGAGCAAGAACATATTTTGCGATGATTGCTCCTCTTGTTTTTCGCATTGCCTCACACTAAAACATACAAAAAGGATCAGCTTGGCAGAACTTCTATCTATGACCTATCCAAAAATATTTGCCCAACAACCCGGAGAAACATCCCATGACTATACGCCTTGTTTCTCGACGGCAGCCGCAGCCCCGCCTTCGGGGTCGCATCCTCGGCGCCCGAGGCAACACGGCGCTGCATTTTGCGGCTCTGGAAGGCCATTGCGCCGTGGTCGATCAGCTGATCTCTGCGGGGGCCACGGTGGATGCGGCCGACAGACGCGGCCGTGGCCCCGGAAGGGTTTTCGAGTTGTTTTGGGCATGGCTCTGACGAGGTGACGGAAGGGGTTCGTACATTGGCAGGTGATTTTCGTGCTGTGCTTTGGGATGCTGAGTGATATTCGTACTTGTTGTTTAAGGATCCACTTTTGTGATGGGATGGGCCTCTTGAAAATTGGGTAAGAGGAATGAGATGAAACGAGTAGCAAGCAGAAGGAATCGCATGGTCTCAAAGTGTTCACTGGTTTTGTTTCTTTTTGAGCTTGATCCCACATTTATCTTTGAAATTGTGATCGCCGTATGGAACATTACGACAGCAGAGCTGTCAGATATTTTCACTGCCAGCGGTAGAATGTAGTGATTTTATTTTTGTTGCAGGCATGTATCCTGAGTTTGAAAATGGAAAACACATGGGATCCTTGAAAGAACAGCTGTGAGGCATTGATTGTCCCAGACTTGACGCGACGAAACATTGAAAATTCAGCATGACAAATGGATACAGATGGCGTGAGTGCCATTGGCTTGGGCACCTGGGTCAATACCATTGGATATTTCCGAAGCACACAAGCATCATACCTAGATCTTCCTGACTACAAAAATTTCAGCCCGAAGGCTTTCAGGCAGCTATTCAGCCCGAATCCAGATTTCTCGCCCGCAGGCAGAATTTCTGCCCGAATGCATTTTAGGTGATTTGGTGGTGTTTGATGGTTTTTGCACAATATCATGTAACATAGGGTGGTCATGTAATACATCAAATAGGTTATTCCTCAATCAAAATTCTATCAACCCCATTATCTCCACAATGTTGTTCTTCAAAGAGTTGACCATTGATTCATAAGGGATGTGGCTAGTTAAACATGAACCCTTCCGTATAACCCACGCATACCCATGCCACACTTTTGCACCTGTGCTGCCAATGCTGCCAAGTGTGAAGTGAGGGGGCTCGAGACCCCAGAGCTGGGAAAGGGATGGGCACCGAAACAGCATGTTTTCAACTTTGGAATGTTACCCAAACTTGGTTTTAGCAAAGAGACTTCTAAAGCAATCTCACTTATCAATTCTATATTTTCCGGTTTTCTCTCATCGTTTGGCCCAAACCTTTTTGGTTTTCTTTGCATCTCGCCGTTTGATCAAACATGAAACCTTCATGAAATAGCGGTGGATCACCCGTAGGTCACATAGACGGAATCCAACCCGTCGGGATAACCGCGAAATTCTTCCCATAAAATCCTCATTGATTTCACAAGCATTGCATTGCGGTGATAGGATTAGAGTAGCTCCTTTGCGCAACTCTCTTTGCAAATGAATAGCTACATGGTGTAAAGCGTGGTGCTTTGGCTTCTGTATGAAGGCCCTAATGCGAAGGTTGATTGCAGCCCTCCCCAGCACCGAGTATCCTCTTAGGACGGTCATTATGCGCACATAGCACAACATGGCACATTTTCTCCCAAGCCAAAGCCGGTGATGGTGAAGCATCCGTAGACTAAGTGCCGCATCACATACCTGATTCATTTGTTTAAATAGTACCTCGTGGCCTGGTACAGTAGGATTTTGGATGTTTAACTTCAAGGTGTAGCTCAGCCATTGGAGAAGTAAAATACTGTCACTTCCCTTGCTCGATGCCCAGGGTGCCGAAACCAGCGTCTTCATGTTGAAGAATGCCTTGGTAAAGCTTCTCAGGCCTGGACTTTTACCTTGGACAGAACACCAAAGGGCGAAATAGGAATGAGCCCTCTGGAATCGGTCCACGATGTTGACTGTGCTGCCTGGAAAGTCAAAAAAATTCAGCCTCAGTAATAGCACCAAAATTCCTCCGATGATGTCCCTGGCAACACCAAGTTTGTGTATATGGAACAAGTCAGGCTGCAGAATCAGCTCAGGGCATGTGTCATCAAATGGCACCCGTGATAACTCGGGGGGTTCATCCAATGACCACGGTCTCTCAACACAGAAAGTTTGCAACCATGTGGGGAACTCGGAGTAGTCCTCAAATGGAACGTTGGGGCCACCTGCTTTGCAAAGATGACACAGTTCAATAGATCTGCTAGTGCCAAGATTGCTGTAGCTCCTCTCCAGCTGCATGACTTTTTTGTGGAAATCCATGTCGCCCTTGATAGCTACTATCGCAGCATACATGGTACCATCAGAGGTGCTCACTCCTTCATCAAAAAGCTTCTGGAAGCTTTTGCTAACTTCCTTTATCAAATCATCAACAACGTTGGGGTTCCGTTTGTAGATCCAACCACCAAGTCCAAACAGTAGAAAATGGGACAAGTAGGAATGACCTTTGAAGTTTGTAGTTTGCTTCGAGCAAGTCTCCAAGATTTCTGGGTCAACAGCTTTCAAATCAGGACCGTAGGAAGGCAAACCAGAGCGCTTGCCCAACTCTTCATGGCATGTGCACTTGATCGTAGGGTCATCCAAAGATCCAAGGGGTGATTCTATGGACAAAACCAGGTAGTTTGTTCTTTTCACTGCCCTTCCTTCATCACCATGTAGAATCAGGGGCACTACTCTGTCCAAACGCCCTTGATGTTCAGAAAAGACTTTGTGTCCTGGATGTTGCAATTGGTAAGCATGCCAGAACGATTTGAAATTTTTGTGTGCACATCCATTCCATCCACCTAAGAGCTCTGGGCGCTCATTCATCCAGTGTTTTACCCAATCTTCTGGTTTGATGTGGTAGCTGGTGAGTCTTGTAACATCGGCAGTCTCACAGACATGATCCATGGTGTGGATTGGCACAGGGAGGGAACACCCCATTTTTTCCATCTTTTGATGTATAAATCTTGAAGCATTTGTGTCAGTGTAGTCATCGTTCCCTGACGCTCGTGGATCCAGGGAGCGAATAGATCTGGCAGCGCTTGCAGCTGTGGCCTTGGCAGGCCACAAATGGGAAGGGAGATTCCAAAAAAGAGGCCACAAAAGTTGAGACCCTGACACCATCACCCAGTGAATCGGCAAGATTGTCAATAAAGCGTTCAGGGAGAGTATTCTCCCGTTGACCTGGCAGCAAAGCTCATGGGGTGGTTAACTTATGGAATCCAACAATTCACTGAAGTATTTTGCGTAAAAAAGCAATGAGAAGGGATATGTTTTGTATCCTTTGGCCACAAAAGCAACTTCCACTGCAGTCAGCCTGCGTCCTGCCTGTCGCAGGGCAACTCAAACGTAGCAGGATTGAGTTGGGAAACCAACTGTTGGGTCCCAGCCTTGTAAGATTTGTCAGTGAGGATACCCCACCACACTTTCAAATCGCAGCTTTCCAGGAGACCCTTTTTTTTACCAGAAAAATAACATATTCCAATCCACAATGACATCATAAATTCGTTCATTTTTGAAACCATAGTCGGTGAAGTTTCAACAGCTTATGGATCAAATTATGATGTTGTGGGATCACTGGTCCGGCTGCTTACCGTTGGCACGGCGTGCTGGGGCAGACTTTGCCTGACCAGCAACCCCTCCGCCAGGCTTTGCTGCAGCAGCCTTCTTGGCCGCCGCTTTGGGGATCTTGGGAGCCTTTGCAGGCTTGTCCTTGCCATCAGAAGCGGGCAATCTGGTCCTGGGAACGAGGCGTTCAAATCAAACATACCCTTAATTTTCCCAGCTTCAACACTTGTTGCATTGTATTGCATTGTGGAAACTTAGGATCAAACTTCGCAAAGTGTGCCAGGGCCATGGATTCTGCCAGCCTCAATTGCTAGTTAGTTTGGCCAGATCATTCAACTATTCCCAACCCCTAGGCCCAAACAAAAGCAGGCAAACATGTTTTAAGGGCCCAGGCTTTTTGCGGGCAACGTCCAACTCCATAGAGATTTTCTTTTGCAACCTAAGGCAGCAAAGGTGTGGTGTTGCCCAAACATACTACATCTACCTGGCCAAAGCCAAGTACCAGATTTTGAGCTGCATCCCGGGACAACCAAGATTTTAATCTATCGTTTTTGGACAAAGTTGCTAAGGAATAAAATAATAATACAATATCTACTTGGGTTTTGGGCAACCATGTGAGTATTGAAAATGGCAGGTGGGATATCATCCTGAATTCTCATACTTCCACTATACCTGGGCATTGACTATGGTACCAAATTTGGCCCCTACATTCTTTGTACGCCATTACATGCAGGGATATGCAGGGTAAGGGCGGCTTGGGTTTTAGCTAACTATGGCTTGCGGCTGTCATAGCGAACCAATCTGGAACATACCCATTTTTCACCGTAGTAAAAAAATATAGAATCTTTGTTTGGTGGTTTCCAACTTACCGACACGAATCATTGAGGATTCCCATTGGTCAAGGGACGCCCTGGTATAGCCACCTTCAAGGATACCTTCCCCGTGCATGTCCATAAGTTGTTCATCATGATGAACAAGTGCATCCATGGCCTGCTTGATCTTGTTCTGCATCCTTGGGCCATGGGTGATAAAATTATGACAGAACAATGTCTTTTGATAACGGGATTCCTGACTTCAGTTCAAGGTTACATATTTGATTTTTATAATTCCCTTTCATGGTATTTCCCCCAGTAGTTTCCAACGCAACATAGCTAATAATGTCAGTATACCCCAAGAAGAATTATATAATGTGTTGCATCATATTTTTGGAACCATCATCAATGATTATTTTCTAATTTGATCATTGGGTCCTCCATGTCCCACCCAAAAAATAGCTTGGTGTCAAGTATCCGCTCTTGCAAGGGTGTAAGACGGCCAACAGACTTACAAGTCTCCATCATGGCTTCTAACTTACCAACTTGTTTCTGAATGCTTCCACATGCTTTGGGGACCAGTGCTGAAGGGGCAGTGTCACCCTCAACCTGTGGAAACTGGAGCTTATCCATCTCCCGTTTCACATCCTCAGATTCCACCTGGACAGGTGCCGTATCGGCTTCCTCAGTGGCCTTGTCCAGCAGCAGACCTGACCAAGGACAGAGGGATGGCAGAGTTTGAGGGTTTAAAAGGTGGGGAATGCTGGTATGTTCAAGTTGGTTCGCAACACTAACCTTCAAATAAAATCGAAATTCACCAGCATTGTGGCCTGGTGCTGCCGGGGTTTGCTCTTGTTTGTTGCCTTCCATGAATCCCCACTCCAGCTCGGGAGCATCGGTTGGAACATCATGGCCACAGTCCTTTCCCACTTCCTCCTCCCACTCGGAAATCTCCTTGGAGACGTGCCGCTTGGTTTTCCTTAGGCGTCAAGAGTGTCACAAACCAGAAAGGAGACTATTGATACATACCGGCTAAACAAAGGATCCATTCTTATACATACCCATGGAAATCATGTGCAAATAAGATTTTGTTGTCACTGTCAATCCAAAGAACCTGAGGAACCCTCGGGAGCGAATTTCAGTCCAGTACATCATACCCTCGCCGTACTTGCTTAACCTGCAAGGGGTGCATTGATTCCATGACTTCACACGGATGGAACTTGAGCATCATAAGTATGAGGATTGTTTGATGGGAGAAACCCTGCCTTGTAAGATGGGGCCTGGTCTCACAGTATCGCATGACGCCTTTGATCTTGGTCCTTAGCTCGCTTGGGAAAGACATGTTTGGGATTAATGGGCATTTTGAATTCAGATATGTTGGAAGTCTCAATTTGCATCAATTTTCTATTTCAGGATGGTTCATGTCAAAAATGGCCGTGATAGCTGAATTCATCGACATCAACTTATGCCCACACAGTGTAGAAGTATTTTACATCAAGTGGCTCTGAGAATTCCATCTTCTGCATATCACCCACCGTAAGCCACTCTCCCTCAATCTCACTAGATTCCTCTGAAATACGCTCTGTGATGGCCTTGCAGCGTTTGATGAATCTGTCCTCCAGGGCAGAGACGGTGAAACAAGGTAAAACCCGGTCAGAATATAGATGAATGTTGTAGCTCTCGTTATGAACACCTTGAACTTATGGGCAATTAAGCTAGTGGGATAATTGGTTGACATGGAACCCATGGGAATCCAGTGGTGTATGATAGCTCTTGTAAGTTCATGAAGTTATTCAGCAACAACTGGTGGTTAAACAAAGATAAAATATAAAATATGATGCAAACATAGGTCAGGTTTGGTCAAACCTGTCCCTTTGGTATCCAACTTTCTCGAACATGCTGTAGATCTCATCACGGCCGCCCCCATCAACATCATTCCAAGCTTTGTTCCACTTGTCATCTAGGATGTAAGTTCCATCTTGCCTTCTCTTGAAAACTCGGTTGATGCGCATGTAAATTGCCTTGTCACTCAAAACCTCCGGTGGTACTGACATGGCAACGTAAAGTTCTGGGTCATCAACATCACCGGCGGGCCGTTTGAAGTTTGGGTTACCATCATCTCTTGCATTCAAGCACCCAACACCATCTACTTGCGATGGGGGTGTTCTAAGAATTTTCTCAAGATGACCAGGGGGTGTAGCAGGTTGCATAGGGGACGGAGCTGCGTGCTCATCCACTGATTGCTCACCCATCATGTGAGATTTCCTGCTCTCATCCAAACTTTCTACCCCATGCAACTGACCTGGCTGGGTTTCATCCTCAGGGTTTGCAAACTCAGTAGGCCCAGCACCCCCAGACCCTAGCTCTGCAGCTGCACGAGGAGGTGGCGGCGAAGGTGGTACTTCATCTTGTCCTGAAGGACCGAAGCAAGGACCACCAATGGCATTGCCAAATGTAAAACATAAGATGTAAAGTATGGGTATATAAATATTGTTTTTACTATATACACACATTATTTGTAGTATATATAATATATATTGATATATTGATATATTATATATTGATATATTGATATATTATATATTATAATATGATATAATATATAATCATATACATGATTATTATTTATTATATATTATTTACAAAATTGTGTATCTATGAAACTATATTATATATTATATATCTCATTTTACGGGTGGGAAGCATTGGAATTGTTTGGACCCCATGGTTGATTGTAGTAACTTAGTAACTAATTGTTTTTTTGGTTGGTTGGTGTAACCATGTCAATGGGGCAACGACCCTGACCCTTTTACTCCATGTCCCATCATTTCCCAGTTGTCTCCTGCTTGAGCTTCTTGTGCTTCCCTCATTTGCCTTTCAAGTGCCTGGGCTGGCCATAGAATTTAACCAGGCCATACAGGTAGGATACAATACTTTTTCCAATGGTCCATGTGTATCCGTTTTGTCATGTTTTGTTCATGGCCCCAAGCATGTACTAAATCCCACCAAAGCCGCAATCTGGGAACCAATCCCTGAAAAATGTTTTTATATATGATTGAATATTCCACAGGAAAACAAAAATATCAAAGTATGTATCACCAAAACCATCCAACTACAGTAGCTACCTTTGCCTGGTTAAGCTGGGGTGCCTCCAGTCGTTCCAGTTCTGCCTGCATGGCTTCTGGATCAGGATCCGGCATCTCCGACATGGCTCGATTGGACCCTTCCTCCAGGAGATCCAGTCCACGTATCAGGGTGTCACAAGACCAAGCTTTGCTAGCAAAACTTGTCATAGACTGGGCTACCTAGAACACACCTAAAGCCAACACCTGAGGAATTTGCAATATCATCCAGCAAAAAATCAAGATTTTCCAGCCACCAAAAAAATCACATTTCGTTCAACCCAGAAATTGTGGAACGGGAATTCTCGCCCGATCACGGGAATTCTCGCCCGATCACGGGAATTCTCGCCCGAATTGAAGTACCAAAAATTGAGCAAAATTTCATTTTTTGTTTTTTTTTGGATCCTATTTTTTTTGAAACCTGTCCCCATTCCATCGACCAAAATTATCTTTTCAGGACCCCGAAGCATCAGATTGTTGGCATGAATTTGCTGAATTGGATTGAATTGTTCAGTCCATGTTCAGTCCATAAGGCTAGCCAGTTAGGCCGCTGAACTGGAAGTTTCAAGTTGAAAAAGCACAGCCCGGTAGGCAGGTGGCAGCTGTAGGTGCCGAGACCCCCTACAATACTCATACACTGTCCACAGCTCCGCGTCATCCCAACAGTCACCCGTTGGCATCGACAGTAAGAGCTCCAACACGGAGGGCTCTTCGTCCACCTGGTCAGGAAAGGTATGTCATGCCGCAATATATGTAATAGAATTCCTTTGTAGGATGCCATGTATGAATGCAAAACCTTAAAAGAGGGACAGCCAAAAGCAGAACCAGCACCTGTGGGTCTGGAAGTTCAGGCATCGTTTCGAAGAATTTATTCTTGTACTCCAAGATCTTTCCAACAAATTTGGCAGGATATAGTCTTAGATGATGCAATGACACCCCAAGCCACCAAAATCCAAACAAAGTAGGGTACGTATCCCCAAAACGGAACATTCTGGGAAACATGTCTAAACAGCAAACCAATGACTGCAAAGTAGAAACTGTGTCCCTTTGAGTGCAGATCCAGCCCCCTTGTAACGGGTCTTTCCAGACTTGTCCTTGTATTTAACGGCTGTTTTCACCAATGACCTGTGCTTGGTCTTCTGAATTGGTCCAAGATCCAGGTATTGGATTGCCCGGGAAGTTGACCACAACAATGTTCGTTTCAAACAAAGATGGCCATAATGTTTCATCCATAGAGATTGCTTGAAGAGACCTGAGTTGATGCAGTTTCTAGTATTATCCCCAAGATGTGGTTGAGCATTAGGAGAGAGGGTAGGGTATTTGAAAGCCAGAAACCAGTATAATTGCCATAAATACAAAAATATTCATTGCTTGTGAAACATAATTTAAACACATTTAAATCAGTTGTTCATCAAGTGAAGATCCCAAAAAAGGAACTATTCCAAGATCAGCCAGTCTACTAATCCCACGGGCACGGAGCATGGCCACAAGCTGCTGAAATCTTCGTTGGGCATTCAACAAAGTCGAGATCGGATTCTCCACCACTGGAACTCCATCACAGGCTATTATCAATAGTACTATGAGCACCGTCCTGCATGGGGCTAGAAATTGGATCCCTCATGTCCCAAAAAGTTGAAGACTTGTTGAACTTACCCCCATAACTTTTCGCAATCCGTTCCTGCATAGACCTTTGTTGGCCTTGTACACAGCTAAAGATATGGGGCATCCCTGTGGCAAGAACTGGGTACGCATAGTAGAGCCCCTAGAGATACTCACAAAGGTGCTGCAAACAACACCAAGAAGGCCCAAAAAGGCTCCCCACTTTGCTCGAAGCACCATGACGCAGGACAACCTGGATTGGCGAGAGAAGCACGAAGGCAAATGCAAAGGGATGGGGAGAAGGACTGCTATTTTGATTTACTAATGCATGTTCCTGTACAATATATCATTTTACCAACAATAAGTTTCAGGGTCAAACACGTGTTAATAAAGGGTGGAGAAACACAAAGCCACCAGAAGTGTTCATGTCCATGGCATTGTTCTTGGATTTATTGTCACCCAAGGTATCGAAGTCCCTGTCCATAGCTGCTGTTTTCATTTTGAGCCCCTTGGCAAGTTTCACAAGACGTTGTTGACCTGCATATAGTTCCAGCACATCGTACTCATTCTTCGTCATATCAACCATGTCGAGGTATCCAATCAGGAGGATAATGACCACAAATACCTGGGTCCAGGATACAGTCACTACAATAGTTGTCCTAGTTTTTACCAATTTCATGTGTTTCTGGTCTTTGGTCATGTTGTAAAAGAAGCCTAGGTGCCTTTGGAGCACCAAGCCAAATCAATTGGCGAAGTACGTATTCCAGTTTGGGCGGCAAAGGGGGGTCAGCACCATCGCTACACTTGACCTTCCCCATGGGATCCTAAAACCAAAGGGCTAAGCATCCACTGAACCCAAACTCTGCAGATTAAGATAGATTAAGAGAGGTACCCATGTTCATGGCCCATGACATCCAGTCAATTGGTGCATACTACATAAGAACAAACCCCAAACTGGCCAGGTTTACGTGGCTCCACTGGTGGCTCTTCTTCGATCACCCCGTACCTCACGTACGGGCCTAAGTTCCGCAGCTTTGCAGAGCGGACCATGGTACCTGGAGCAAGGATGGAGGACCCAACAAATATTTGAGACCAGGGTCTGAAGGTAAGGTGTTGGGGAATTATTGGGAGGTCGTCGGAACAACTGTTTTAACACCTTTTTCCCCCAAGCTTGGATTGTCCCAGCAGGTTTTCAGCTGCTAGGTTCTGGAGATCTCGCTAAGATCCATGAACGCTTGCAAACACATTGGTTTTTCCATCAGGATGGGAAGCATATGGAAGCATAAATATGGGAAACCATTGCGTAATATGAAAATCTATGTATGTAGAGTAGAGTCAACAGTTAGTTGTTTTTAAAACTTTCCCACATTCCATCCCTTCCGCTCAAGTGCCCAACGTGTTGACTAAGCAAGCAAAACCCCATATCATAGAGCTATGGCATCATTGCGTAGATGCATCAGCTCACTTCATCATACCTCAGCTGGCCAAAACAACAGCTCTTAAGTTTCAAAAGGGTTGGATGATTTTTGGTGATAAAACTTGGTGGACAAAAAAAGATCTATGTTAGGCCAAGTACGCTTGACATCTTCCAACTCCAAGAAATCAGGAATGCAACCATGAATGAACGACGGGTAGTTGGTGATCTGGATGGGTGCTGCTTGCGACTTCATATGCTTCATGCAATGGTTCCAGAAAGTCACCTCCATGGGGAAAAAATCAACCCCACAGTGTAAATTCTTTTGATGGGAAAGAAATTGGTTAAAATTGGAGGTTGTACCAGAAATCCACCAGTGAGCCTCCATGGTAGAAACCTTGTTCAGCAAGTGCTTCAAGTGCAAATTGAAATTGTCCTTGATCGCGTCAAAGCGGGCTGCAGGGTCTGATCGCTCAGGGCGATACCGGCGGGCAAAGGACTTTCTCCCACCTGCTTCACCACCAGCTCCATCATCACCATCACCTCCATGAACTGCCTGGTTGCTGGCAACCTCTGGGTCCACAGAAACCTCGGAAGCAGGGGCCTCCACAGCAGGTCGGTCATGGGCAGGATCCTGCTCAGGCATGGCAGGGGCGGCAGGGGCAGGAACTTCTTCATGGCTTTCAGGAAGAGGTTCGCTTTCTTCATCTTTGGTCTCCTGGTTTTTTCTGCGCTTTGATCCTGCATTCTTGCCTTTCTTTGCAACTTCTTTGGCCTTGGCCTTTGCGGCCTTTGCTTCTTTGGCAGCCTTGATCTTTGCGGCCTTTGCTTCTTTGGCAGCCTTTTTCTTTTCTGCTGCTGCTTTCTTCTTTTGCTTTTCCTTCTCGGCTTTGGCAGCTTTCTTGGCCTTGGCCTTTTCTCGTGCTGCTTTCTGCTTCTCCGCCTTTGTCTTCCCTCCCTTGCTGCGTGTCTTGGTTTTGGGCTCCTCGTCACCTTCTTCATCATCAAGACCTTCACCTCCTTCAGTCTCCTTGCTGCGTTTCTTTGCCTCAGCGTTCAATGCATTCCTCTCATCAAACTGGTCTTTGCGTGTGACGACTTCGTTGGCATGAAAAAGATCCTCATCACCTGTTTTCTGGTCCCCCTCCCCAACATCTTTGGCCGTGTTATCCATGCCACCCTCCACATCCACAACCTCAACACTGCCGGACTTCTCCAAGGGAGGTTCTGTGGGAGAAGGTTCTGGGACCGAAGGTTCTGCAACAGAAGGTTCCGGGACCGAAGGTTCTGCAACAGAAGGTTCTGGGACACTAGGTTCTGGAGCAGAAGCTCCAGAAGCTTCCACTTGAGTAGGTACCCTGCCAAACCGTTTTGGAGTAGACTGATCAACAGGAATCTCAGCCGGGGGGTTCTCCATCCATGTTTTTGCCACTGGGGACATGTCCATGGCTTGAGTCTCCTGAGCATCAGTGGCCACCTGTCGCGCCTGCAAAGGTCGAGCCGAAGACTGGACTCTTTGCTGCTCCAGCCGCTTCCTTACAGGCAACTTGTCGGTGCTGGAATGGTGGACATAATTCTTGGGGCAAATATACGGGCAAATCATGGTAAATCTATTCGAGACCCGAAAGACCAGAAAATAAGGTTTTCCATGGTGGGGCAAATAGTTTAATCCATTTCTGGGAAGTTAAGAAAATTATGAAAGGCCAAGATCAGTAACTTAACCATCTTGATCTTCTCCTGCAAAGTGGCTAGATCTTCTGGGGAGTACTTACCGGCAGAAGGCAATGGATCTGTCACAGTCGTAGTAATTGGGCGATCAGGGGAGGCCACCACCTCGATCACATCGGAAGCTTTGGGCGTAACCTCCATCTCCGTAGGTGTGATGGCAGGGCTGCAAGATTCCCCACTAGACATGGGCTGAGAGTCAATCAAGGTATCCGCTAGTGGTGCATGGTCACCATGATTCAAATTGTCAGGGACCTGGGAATCTCCATATTCCATTTCAAGGGCCACCTCACCAGAACCAACTGCATCTTCATTTGCCATGAAAGTATCCGGGGGGATTTGTGAGTCGGGCATCGGCTCAACAGGATGGGCCACAGGCACAACACCCAAAGATTCTGCCAAGACAGTCTCACCATAGTCATCGCTGAGGCATGGGGGCTCACCTGGGAGATCCTGGCCGACATCAGCTGGTTCATCTGTGTTGGCCATGGACTCTTGGCTCTGCGTGCGGGGCTTTTTGAGAACAGGCCAGCTCGCCATGATGTCATAGAGGCTCTTGATAGCTGCATCCTCAGATCATAACAACAATCTAACATGATCTAACATCTAACCCTTTGAATTTTTTGAGGCATTGGATTGTCCCATTTGTGACAATGATTGTCTTGAATTCGCTATGTTGTCTATGAATAAAACATAATAAAACAGGTTAATGCTGTCAGAAGTCCCGACGGTTGGAACCATTATGGCGACGCACAAGGTAGGTCACAAATCCCCTGATTGAAACTGCATCACAATTCACCTTGACCTCATCGTCCACCCAGACCTGGTTGGAGCGGAACGTTCTCACCTGGTCGCAATAGCTGTCGAATTAAGTTCTAGGGAGATGTTTGGAGGAGCAACCTAAAACACAACCATGTAACAAATTTGCATACAGTGTGTCAAAATATTTTAACACCAAGTTCTGAAGAACCTTTTTTGTTGGTAACCACACCTCGTCACGGATGTGATCGATGTGGATAGTCTTGGCAGTGGGAACTTGTGGAACCCAGATCTCCATGACGTAGGAAAGCACCCTAGTATTTCTGCCCATGGTGCTAAAGTTGATAACTCCAGTATGCTTTGGGGACGGCCATGACAAGAGTGTCCCATTCATGAGGGCAAACCGGCGAATGGTCTCATCTTTGTCCCACTTCCCCCAAAGCCCTGCCAAGGATGTTCCTTCGATTGGGGCCTCATCCACATCATCATAGGCATCATTGAGCGGGTGCGCGGGCAAGGGCAAATCCATACTCAAGAATTAAGGAACCCAAATGTTTGGCAACCCTGTTCAAGCCAAATGGTCTAGATGGAAACAGAGGTGATAACATGTGGAATCTTTCCCAATCCAAGTGTCCCAATCTTAGTTGTCGGCTGCATGGGGCAGCTTGACATGTATGCTCATCCTTACATGATGGCATTTGCCATTTTGTCTTTACTTGCTAGCATCCTGCGGAATCCGGGCTAGTGGTGGGGCACGAGTCGTTGATGGGCAACTTGAACACTGGCTTGAAGAGCATCATGAAGAATCACCTGCGTGCGGGCAGTGAATTTTAGTGCATATTCCCATTACCAAATTGAAGGGTATATTTAATAGGCAGGGATGCAGGGATAGTTAAAGCGGTTTCAGACCCAACATATTCAAACAGCAATTAAATACCAACATGTTCTTCACCAATTTTACTCCCGTACCCCCGAGAGTTTCGAAGCCGAAGTCAAGTCTGTGCTTGACACAAGGTTGGCCATCACTCACTGATCCGTGGATGCTCAGCGGCCTTACAGCCAGCGGGCCGGATTCACATAAATAATGCAATAATTTCGACTACATAGATAAATGTGTGATCAATTTTTTGAAGCAATTCCTGGTCAAGGGACGGGTCTTTTGATATTTCTGCACGACAGAGGCCAAATAGTAAGCCGTGCCAGCCAAGCGATAGTTTTCAAGAATCATCTTTGCCCGGGCATCAGACAGGCAATCCTAGGTTTCTATAAAATCATAGAAGTTAAATGGAATCAGCACTGCAACATCCATGTGAACTGTTTCACCTGGCAAGAGACTTCCACAGGGCAGCGAGGAAAAATCACCCGCTGGGTTGCTGTCCACCAACGAGCTGGAAGTGCATCTAAGCCTCCCAATAAAACATAATAAAACCATAGACAATACATTCTATCTAGCTAGCAGGAGGTGATTGAACAATAAATCCTACCAATTGACCAGCCTTCCTCTTTCAGAGCATCCTTTGTCTTTTCAGACACCGAGCGAAACAGGTGAACGTTCATGGGTCAGAAATCCTAAATACCCAAAGGGCAGGCTACAACCTTTGATCCAAAATGATTTCTGTCACATGAGCGGGCTCCAAAACCATTCAATTGTCCAAATTTGCACTGTGCCAAATCAACCATCAGCGACAAATGCTGCAGGCAGGGCAGTGGGGGATGGCGCCTGAAGAAGTCCAAGAAAAAGAGGATACCATAGGATACCTAAACCTATCATTGAGCCTGTGGCTACAGCCACCAAAATCCTCCAAAATCCTCCAAATCATGATTTCTGCCCGAGGGCGTTTTTTTAGCCCGAATGCCTTTCAGGCAAAAATCCTGTTTCAGGCAGGAATTATAGCCCGAATGAATTCCTAGGTATATCCATGTTTGTCCAGCCAATTGCCTGAGGCTGACTCGGTGCCAATACTGGGATTGACCTTCTTGTCACCAAGGGATGCCCACCGCAGCAAGCCTGAACTTCGGGCATTTCTGTAGACATCCCGCCGGATGGCTCCTCAACAGAAAGGGGAGCTGACTCCAGCTGTGAATGCGCAAGAAGTCTGCAGCTTCTGTCATGTTTTGTCAAACTTAGGCAGGCTCCCGCCTGACATGACCATTATATGCCATTGCAATCACATACCATTGCAACCGTGGCTTGGCTTCTCTTGACATGGGTGTCAGCACATCCCCAAACCTGCTCCATCATTGAGAATTGTGAGCTGCATGTTGTTGTTGGCTCAAGGGTGAATCGAAGGAAGGCGCCGTAGAAAGAGCGCCTGAGGGGGAAATATGGGAAAGGTGCCAAGGTCACGACATCACAATTAATGACCTATTTCTCAAGGCTTGATTCCAGAGAGCCGCTCAGGCAGGCTATGTAAAAGGTTAATTAATGATAGTATGCGATGGCAAAAGGCAAGGCCATCATGGATTCCAAGAATCTGGATCCGGATTGTCTAATTATATATATATACACACCTATTTTAGGGCAGGATGGACGGTGATGGTGCTGGTGCTGATACGTCTCCGACCCTTGGCAAGACCGTCTCAAAGGGGATTGGGGCAGTTGACCGCGTCTCTGTTCGCATTGTAAACATAATATGGTAGAATGTTGCACGTGCTGCTATGGCGTGAATCTGCAACATTTTTCTTCCCACTGTGAAGGTCCAAGAAGATGAACGGGGACTAGGTGAGTACTTCAGATTTGCCTTACCTTACTTGATAGATCAATGAACCCGCCATGATTTCTGAGCTTGGCTTGCCATAAGGACTCCGAAGCAGGAATGCAAGTCGCGCAGTGATGAGAGCAACGGAACTGAAGAGGAGGCCTAAGAGGGCCGAGTGCGGCGAATGGGGAAGCTTCATCCAGCTGATCCACCGACGTCCACATGATTATTGCATTGACAACTGGGGATAGGCTATAGGATATTAGTGGATAATTATATAAATGGATATTATAGCATATTAGCATATTATAGCTAAGACTGATTAAATTGGGCCGTTGACCTTACAATTGTTATGTGTTCGTCGCAATTGGGTGGGGCTAGATTCAGATGCAGCACCTACACCTATATTGTATTGTATGGCATTGAATAATACTCCGATCTGGAGCCTGTCATTGGCAACGCAATCCCTGTGATTCTACATTCACTTCGCCTTGGATGAATATACACTCATATGCCAAGAGTTTTTTGGGGGTTGAGCTAGAGATAACAGGAAGCATGTGACCTTTCCAATTGCATGAAATTGCCTTTGAGACTTTTGAGGGACAGCCACACATCAAAGGATGGCTGGACTTTTCAGGTTTGGGTGTTGCAGTCGGCAATGAGGCTGACAAGATTGCGCTACCACAACCGAAGAAGGCCAATGATAGACCACGAGGCTGGATTATATATATATATATATAAGTTCTGCCAAATCATGCCAAGTCTAACTATTTATATGAAGTTCTGCTGCGCAAAATCTGCTTGTTTGCTCATACCAACTCTGCACATGCTTGAAGAGTTTCGATCTCCCAACATTCTTGACACGCAACATGATTCAGATTTAGCGTGTCTCTTTTCCTCAGTTTTCACACCGTTTGCAAGCGTGTTTTAGAGGGGGTCCCCCGTTTATTGATATTACTCGTGAACTCACCCCGCCCGATCCAAAATCTTGCGTTTAGTTGGGGGGGACTTCCCGGAAAGTCGCCCCAACATGCATTTACTTGCTGTGGAGCAGTTGCGTAAGATAGAAAACGATGCTTTAGAAGTAAATATTGCTTCATTTAGCTTGTGTTTACACTGGTGAACTTATTTTTGTCATGCCTGGCTCATTCATGTGACCTTCGAGCAAATCCAGTCACGTGTTTACATGTCGCCCTGCCGGGGGGGTGCCTTTCTAGAGTAGTTGCATCGATTCATCTAATTACAGTAGATGCTGGCCTGCAGCTAGGCTGTTGATGGGCATCCTGGGCTGCTGCTAAATGGCTGGGGGATATCACCACGGGCAGCGTGCAAACTGCTGCTGGGCTGCTGCCAGACTGCTTCTAGACTCCTGCTAGGCTTGCTTCCGGGCTGGTGGTAAATTGCTGCTAAAGCTGAAGGGTTTCCAAAGCTATTTTCTGGCCTCGTTCGGGCCTCGTTTTGGCCTCGTTTCTGGCCTCGTTCGGAACCCGTTGCAGAATGTTGCAGAAATATTGAGTTGAGATGTAAATCAGAACCCCATAGATTTGTTACCAAAACATACCAAAACATACATGAATCATGCGCTTACATTGTTTTTTGAACCAAAAGATGACATTTCTTAGATACACTTATTATTCTTTGAACATTCGAATTAGATGCGTTTTGCAACCAAAAGTTTTATTTTACCCAAACATACATGAATCATGCGTTCAAATGATGTTTTGATATTGAAACATGTCATTTTGTTAATAATTTACCATAGTTTGAAACCATTGGGGTGACTTGCGTTCTCATGGTGTTTTGCACATTTGGGATGTTAGTTTTTTAGTTTTTTTATTTTCGTGCTGCGTTTACAATGGGCGAAAAAGTTGGGGTGACTTTTCCTAGCAGTTGTGCGTAGTTCCATGCGGGAATGACAGTTGACTGCAACGTTGGGGGGCCTTCGCCGGCATGGAGAGGAGAGTAGTAGTCCGCAATCCGCAACCTCCCTTTGTTCCTTTTGTTCTACAGGTGTGAGTCGGAGCCATGTTAGATTTGCCTGCTATTGCCATTCAAGTTGCATTGCGCAAACGCAGTGGTACAAATGAAATCGTGGCAGAAAATGGCACAAACTCCAAAGATCTCCACGGGAACTGTTCAAAGATTAGTTTCTCATTTCACCTCAACCAACTATATATTGTATATGAAATTAAGCCAGCGCGTCCAGAGTCCAGAGCCTATCTAGGATAGGTCTTTTGAAACAGAACTAGGTGGGAATCTAAAGACATATTCATGGAAGAGTGTTATACAGCTGGGTTTAAGATGTGCACACAAAACTCATAAGGCCATTGCGAAACAATGCTAATTGCGAAGTGAAAATGCAGAAAATCATGGTGAAACACGGGCCGTGGAAAGACCTGCTAGAGTTTCAAGTCGTGGAAGGATCTATGCAGAACATGGACTGGGACTTTCAAAAGCTTGAACGGACACGTCAAAAACGGAAGTCTGTCAGAATTCCAGGGTTTCAATCTAAATCGTCCTGATGTCGCAAAAGTTCAAGAACATGCAATTTTGATGTTATCCAGAAATAGGTCTTTAGTTCCCCAACGGGTCTCAGGTAGCGGTAGAGCCTTATCCTGAATAGGACTTTGGACTTTCAGGTCGAAGGCGAAAAAGGACGATATTTGAATTGCGTATAATCCGTATAATTGTTCAAAGTCATGCGAAGTCTAGGTTTTGTTATCTCTAAGACATTCTAAGACCACAGGCACTCCATAGGCACTCAGGATGGGTTACAGATTTGTGGCACTTGTGACTTGTGGCAGACGCGAAATCTAGCCACCCATAGCCAATACACACGGAGCACCGCACCAGGTGTGAAGCGTGCACTGGCTCCAGAGGGAGATCCTTCTGGTAGTCCCACGACGCGTTCACGAAACTTCGCCGAAGAGGGAAGTGTTGGAGATTCCTGGAGTTTTCATGAATATCTTTGAATAAAGATGAATGAAGGTCGGCATGAAAGCCAGCCGATGCATTTGCTTATTAATGTCAAGTTAGGATTAATAATCCCCGCGGTATTAATCAACCCCCTCTGCCCAAAAAAAAGATGTAATTTAAAAAAGGTGGTCCCCCAGGATTAATAAACCCCCCGATTAAAAAACCACCAGTGCTGAAATCAATTTTTTATCCAACAATTTTTATTTCCAATTCTATTTATTTCCAATTTGTTTTTACATTTTTTTTAATCATCATTGTTATACTTAAGGTTTAAGTTGATCATTGAAAATTTCAAAAAAACGACTATTCCCCAAATGATCGATTTCTAATTAAAATATTTATAAAAATCATCAGTTTGGATAGCTCCCAAAGCGTACCCCCCATGAGCCCATGTCCCCCATTAATAATAACCAGGGTTTGCCCCTGATTAATCAACCACCTTTCTGATCCATGAGATTTTAACAAATCCAATAGAATTCTATTAAGATCTAATTGACGTAAGCCATATCCAAATTTTTATGGTTCAGAGTTGCTTATTTATTAAGGGGTGGTCGAGAAACTCGCCAGAAGGTACCCCCCTACCTACCTGGTGGGGGGGGGTTGATTAATCCGATGTTGCCATTACAAATTATATCTAATTATCATACAGCCATACATGGCAATCAGAGGCAGTGTGCGAGCAAGTTCTTTGCAAAGGGATTTCTTTCCTTTCCCCACCTTCCCCACTGTTTCCCAGCCTTGGAACATCTTAGACTCTTGAGGAAGACGTCAGACTCTATCCTCTGAAGCTCCCACGGAGACAGAGGAGGCTGAGAGAACCAAGATGAAACAAACGCATCCTGCAGAGTTCTGTTGTTTCATTGCGTCTTAAATCGGTCTGGCAGGGTGCCGTCTCGAAAGATCGCGAGATTCGACGTTTGCAGCGCTTTGACTGAAACCAGGAGCGGATGCTGTTAGCACATGTTGATACATTGTTTGCCGGAATTTGCTATTACAACCGAGGCAAGAGTTGGCGGAGCAGAAGCATCAGATGCAAAGCCAGGCTATTATTGCAAAGAAAGGCGGGTGCGCGATCTTCCATGAAAGGGAAAAGCGCTATGGCAGTAAATGCAGAGAAATGTCTTGAAAGATGAGATGACCATTGCCACCCGCCGCCAGGATTCGCTGTCATGTGTTTTTTTGATGTTTTTTGATGTTTCTTTATACTCCATATATCTCCATATAGAGGGGGCAGAGAATATGGATACCCAAGGTGTAAGGAGCTATGTTTTGAATTGACCATTCCTATCAATGCATCCATCCCTTGCGAAAGTATCTTGCTAGTTTGCGAATACATTTGTTCGAAGGAAAATTGCGAAAGTTATATAGGTATGAAATCATTGTTTAAATACTGTACAATGTGCTTTTGTAGGGATGTGTAGTTTGACATTTTTCGGGATACAGTCCGAGCGCTGGTTAAGAATCCGAAAGCTTGAGGTCCAGGGCCCCTCAAATTCTTATTTTTAAATGCAGGCCAATTTACACCACAACAGGCCGAGGGTCCCTCAAATTAAATTCTTAGGGCATTCTTAGTTATGTATTGCATGCACCTGCACAAGTTGGAGCAAGTTTAAGCGAGGTAACAAGGTGGAGTTGGCAGATTTGACAAGAGGCATGCGAAAAAATGATTTTTTAGAGCCTGAAAAATTGATTTTTGCAAAGCCGGGCTTGTCTGAGTTTCATGAGAGCAGTACGGAAAAAAAAATTAGAGCCTGAAAAATTGTTGTTTTTGTAAAGCCATGCTAGTATGATTTTTTTAAGGTTAGCGCGCAAAAAAACATGTTTTTGGAGTCTGGAAAAAAAAAACAATGTTTCGGAGCTTGAAAAAATGTTTTTCTGCAAAGCCCAATTTCATCCCGTAAGACAATAGAAGGGGTCACGCCAAAAAAATGAACCGCAAAGGGGAATTGCAAACCTCACGTATAAGCAGTAATTTAAGAATTTGGCAATCCTATTCCAGGGTCTCTCAAATTCTTAAAGTACTATGTGTTTGGTATACCTGAAAATATGTAGCCCGCCTTGGATTCGAGCCCCTCAAATTCTTATACAGTGAATTCTTGTACAATACTCAAGCTGTAATTACAGATATCCCTTTCCAAAGAGAGGTCTATATTGTAGTGGTCTGCCCAGGGGCTTCCTCGCCCACCCACCCGCACAAACACCAGCTGCATGCAAGCATGCAAACAACAATTGCGCACAGGACCGCGAGTGCCCCGACCCTGTCCCCACTCATCCACACACAAAAACTTCAGTGAGAAGGGATTTTGTCCTGCTACCTGCATGTTTGCAAGATCATGACCATGAAGTAACAAAGTAGCCTATCATAGTCTATGATAATCTGGCAGGCAACACCTAAGCCCTGTCCTCATAAGAGACATTGTTGCACACACGGGTCCTGCGAACTCGGAGTTCGCGAGAAGAATTGCCTTTTCAAGTTTTATGGGTGAAAGAAGTTTAACCAACAACGAGAGAGAGACAGAGAGAGAGAGTTCCTGAGACACGAAGATACTGGCAGGCCGTGATTTGTTGGCTCAAAGCTTGATTGAGATTGCCAAGAGTGAACGAGCCCCTTGGCATTGTGAAGATAGGACAAGATAGGTTCCAAGCGGTTTTACGAACTCGAAGAAGATAGAGTTTTCCTTCCAAGCAACTTCGTGGAACATGTGCAATATACCCTGCTCTATCTTGCTCTTTGAATCAAGCACGGATGTTTCCTTGCATTGGTGTTCTGCAGTACTGTGAAGGCATATGCCCTAAACTCCTAAGCCGGCTGGGTCTTATGATGTGTCCTTTGCAAATGCTGTTGTGAACCGAGGAGAAGGAAAGAACTCGGCTTTTTCATGAATCATACCGTGCCACTTGTTTGATCTGTGAAAAATGGATAAGGAGGGTATGGGCCTGCCGACCCATGCGCTAGCACGCTTCTGCAAGATTCTCCAAATTTGCATGTACAAAGCTCCCTGAGTTTGCACCTTGTTGGAAGGCCACTCCCTCTGGATCTTCACACACACGCATGGCATAGGCTAAGGATTCTCACCCGATTCTAGGTCCATTTTATGAACTGAACATGACGCAAGATTGCCATCACAGAAAATAGAAGCCCCAGCTAAGGTTGGCGTCCAGCGACGCTCCCCCGTCGGGCAATCTGATGGCTGGGAGGGTGGAACAGAGGCGGCGGCGATTGCGCAGCTCAAGGCCAAGCTTCGCCGGGACCGACCGGGATGCCGAAAGCCGGACAAATGCTAAGCTGATAATGCTGGAGGATGCTGGAGGATCATCCCGCTGAGTACCCAATTCGAACCCTTGGTTTTTTGGGGGAATTTGAGTTAAAAATCATGTTGTACCGAGTACGGACAGCTGCACATGATCGAGTCAGACTTTGCTAGAAGGTAGCTGAGTGCTATTTATAGTGGAAAGTGGGATGATCCTCTAAGCAAACTGAACCAGGGGAAGAATAGGATCGAAGCGAATGGGAACAGGAAGGTCAGAATCAGAAGGCCCTTTCTTCATTTCAGGAAGGTGGGTTCGGTTTCGATTCTAGATTCTTATTGTTTGATTGGTGTGTATATGGAAATTGTGGAACATAGCAAAACTAACTAGTTGTATTTGTTTGTCCTTTTTGTTCTGATGATTGCGCTTCAGTGCGAAATAGGAACTTCAATAATAGCGTTGCCGCCAGAGAAAGTGTCCCCGAACAGTTCTTTAAATAATTGATTAAGCACAAGGGGCTCAACGTCCGATGGCTACACCAGGAGCGTGAATTGGTGGAATCAGACAGGCGGTCAGTACAAAGGCAGATGAAGAAGGCATGCGCTCGCAAGAGGGGATAAGCCGCACTACTTTCAGTGGAGATGGTCAAAACCATATCAAAACAAAGTGGTATGATTTCATTTGTCCGCAGTAGTTTGTTGGCTTTTACTACATGCAGTTGCCGCAATCATGGCCGACCCTGCTCAACCCACAATGTGATCAACGTGGTAGGCGATGGAGACCGAAGATGCCGAGAACGCACCGAATACAGACGACCCAGACGAGTTCATGGAGACAAGAGAAGTGTGCAACCATCGAGCTGAGTACATCAGGCGATGTTTTTGAACTGGTCAAACCAAATGCACCGAATAAAGAGAAATGATGCCAAGATGGTGGCAAATTAATCGGTATATTTTATGTACTTTCCTTGGTTCTAGCATGTTTCGGCTGAACAAGACAAGAGAGCCGGCAGCTCTTTCAGAACCTGCAATACTTGCCTGTTGATGCCCGATGTATTTCGCAGACAAAATGACGAGCGTAAGCAGCGAGCATTTGCGACAAGGCGTGAAGAGGCTGCTCTAAAGGATCGAGAGCACCGGCTGATGGCCGCCTTGCACTCAGTGCCATGATCACTGATATCACTGTGAAACAGCTAAGATACCGGTCAGAGTAGTCGCAGGTATACCATAGGCCAGGTTCTCCCAGAAGAATTGGCATGAAGATGAGATAAGATGAGTCAATTGAGTCGCTATGAAAGCATGAAACGGCACTGCGTGTTGTAAGCTCTGTGGAACTGAAGCTCTTTTCGAGGACCGGACACTCTTTCAGAAGCACGAGATGTTGGCCAATACCCAAGAGCGATCTCGCTTCAAGCACTATCCCATGTTGCAGGAGGGTTTCAATAAGCAGATATAAGCAGGAAGGACATTTTCTGGACATGAGGGAAAGGTCATAATTTCCATGTCATTTGAAGTCAATAGGAAGGAGATGGAGGCAGAGCAAGGAAGAGAGAGAGAGAGAGGGAGAAATGCCAAGCAATGAAGCCGTTGTTTTTTCTACCCTGAGACCTTTCATGTTGGGGAGAGAAGCCATCATAAGACAACCCAGATGCACCCCCCTAACTTGAAGCTTACAGTGTATACAGTCTACTTGGTATTTGGCCAAGACTATCCAGGCAGATGACCCCGAACATTCTCGAACATAAAAACACCCCATAGCTCCAACAGCTTCAAATGGAGCATGTGGTTTTGGTATTTTGTTCAATGTGGACCCGCCACCCGTCCCTTTTGTTGTGCCCAGGCAAGATCCCAAACCCTCCAACCTCCCTGGGATGCACCATGGTATGCCATGGCGTAGGAGAGATTTCAGCTGCTAAACGTCATTGGCAAAGGAGGCCAAAGCGAAATCTACAAGGCCTTTGACCTGGAACAGATGTGTTCCTCACCGGCAGTTTGGAACACAGAATTCTCATGAATTCCCCAGTGTTTGCGGTACCCAATTCGTCTCAATCCTCAGAGTGTCTAGCGTAGCAAGGGGGAGTTTGCCAAGGCTTTTGTGCAATCAAGATCCACGAGACAGAGACGAAAATCTCAGATCAGCAAGCCCGCTACCTTGCATATAGGGCCGTACAAGAACTGAAGATACACAAGACCTTGCAGCATTCTCGTGCCTGGACTGCATTCATGAAATGTCCATAAATATGCTGTTTGGAAGATTTAGAAGTTTCCTTGAGCAGTTTGAGTTCATCAATTGACAACGGCTGCACATAGCATTATGTGGTGGCCGTTGCACCAGATGATGCATGCTGCGCTGAGGCATTGTACAGTTACGCGAGTACTTTCAGATAGACACCAGTGCATCTACAGTTTTTGCCATGGTCCTGGAGTTGTGTGAGGGAGAAACGTTGGACATGAGACTCAAGATGCATGGGCCGATGCCAGAAAAGGAAGCCAAGAGCATCATCGTCCAAATCCTGATTCTCGGTCCGAGACTCATTTAAGCCGACTTTTTTACTCATTATAAGCCGACATTTTGTATGTTGACTTCAGAGTTAACTCCATGGGGTACAGACCTTTAGGTTAACACTTGGGGACACTTGGGGTGGGTTTAGGGGACACTTGGGGACACTTGGGGCGGGAGTAGGGGACACTTGGGGACACTTGGGGTGGGCTTAGGGAACCAACTCCAAGGGATACAGCCCTTTAGGTTAACACTTGGGGACACTTGGGGACACTTGGGGTGGGTTTAGGGGACACTTGGGGACACTTGGGGACACTTGGGCTGGGCTTAGGGAACCAACTCCAAGGGATACAACCCTTTAGGTTAACACTTGGGGACACTTGGGGTGGGTTTAGGGGACACTTGGGGACACTTGGGGACACTTGGGGTGGGTTTAGGGGACACTTGGGGACACTTGGGGTAGGCCTAGGGAACCAACTCCAAGGGATACAGCCCTTTAGCTTAACACTTGCGGACGCTTAGGGGACACTTGGGGACACTTGGGGTGGCCTTAGGGGACACTTGTTCAAACTACCAACACGTGCTGTCATACGTTGTCACATCTTCTTCAAGTCCCTTGGATGATGTTCCTGGTATGTTGCAACATCTTCGTCAAGTAGCTTGCAATACATTCCTGATACGTTGCAACATCTTCCTACTTGTAAGTAAATTGCACGACCTTCCTGATACTCCTGCTGCCTCGTCTTACAGTAACTTGCCAGATGTTCCTGATACGTTGTAGCATCCTCTTCGAGTGACTTGCAACACGTTCCTGATACATTGTGACATCTTCTTCGCGGCCCTTCCGCCATGCTCCATGCATGACGTTGTCACATCTTCTTCAAGTCCCTTGGATGATGTTCTTGCTATTTTGCAACATCTTCGTCAAGTAGCTTGCAATACATTCCTGATACGTTGCAACATCTTCCTACTTGTATTGTAGCACAAGTATTGTGCGTAGGAACATGAGAAGACTCGATGCTGAATGCCGAAGGTGTGAGGCTCGAGAAATTTCAAAGGAATCTGATAGATTGGGGGTCCCGCCGTGGTGGTGTGACCGCACCCGGTACCCAGATGAACCAGCTCGGATTGCGAGGGAGATCATGCAGGGCGTCATCCATCTTAAACCACTCCAACACGATCCTAGTCGAGGACTTGGAGGACCCTGTGGTCCTGATTGTCGCTAGCTCAGCCTACCTGAGGTGCCCGCATGTAGCTCCCATCCAGAAAACACAAGGAATCTGATAGATTTGGGGTCCTGCCATGGTGGTGTGCCCACGCCCGGCTCCAAGCCGAACCAGATCTCGGCCTACGAGGGAGAGCACGCAGAGCGCCTTCCATCATCAACGTCAACACGATCCCACTCGAGGGGGTGGAGGACCCCATAGTCCCTAGTCGCTAGCTCAGACGACCAGAGGCGCCAGACGCGGAGCTCCCATCCGGATCAGAGAACCTAAGGAATCTGATAGATTGGGGGTCCAGATCACGCAGGGCGTTTTTTCAGAGTGCCCAGCACACACACATATATATATACATACATGTACCGAGGACACTTCGTGCCCTCATTCCCTTCGGGAGCTAGTTGCACAGCTGTGACAGGATAGCCCGCTGAAATCCCACATGCCTGGGCGCGAGCTGCCGAGTTAGGAGCTCACGCCCCCAACGGATTCTATGCACGACTAAGAATCTTCTGAAGGTTTCTCACCGCCTCTGGACCGCGGAAGCTGGGAGCTTACGTCCAACATGTCTTCGTTTCACTGAGGTTTCATTTTGGGGATCGTCCGTTGACTGGCATCAGGGCACAAGCACTGAAGGAAACCTTCTGGACACATTTCCATACTGATACATTTGAATCCGCTATGCCCACACCAGTATCATCGGCACACACCTATCCAAACAGGAATCCTGACGCTAGGCACCCAGGCCCTTCGTAACTGTCGTGTGAACCTCAGTTGCAACATCCGACCCGACACTAAGGCTTCGCCAGACGGTGATTCGGATCACAGTTTATCCAGAACCCAGGGTCGATGTTTCCAGAGAGGGTTTGTCATCACTGTCTAATTTTGACTGCGGGTGCGTTTGCACATGCGGTGTTTCGTTTCCTTCATTCTTTCTTTGGGTCACATGTCGGCGGGGGGGGCTCCCCGTCCTCTCATTTTGTTTCATTTATTCTACCCGTCTTACCGTATCCGACGAGACAGCCGGCCTGCCTAGGCTGAGCTCCAGTCGTAGCCTTAGACATCAACCAACCAGATCGACACGCACCGACACCATTGAGCAGAAAGCCGACTCGAGCATTCACTGCCCTGGTCAGGAAACACTTTGTTTTGTTCAAGCTGCGAGCAGCAGCCGGGCCAATCAGCCCTCGATGTGGGCAGACATGTGAATGTGCGCGGTGCACGTCGCCCTTTCTGCACAGCCAGCTCGCGCAGAGCAGGCAGAGAGGCACGATCAGTGCTTCGACCCGTGCCTTCGTAGCATTCTCATGTGGTAGTTAGGGGAGTCTCTGTCATTTGGACGGTCCAGGTGGACAGGGGCACGCGTGTAGCGATTGATCCCGATCCAAACAGGACGTCCACGCACATGTTGTGAGCGAACAAATGCGGCGCATTAACCACCTTCACAGCGTCAACCGTTGTGACGAATGTGACGGTCCGTAAGACTCAAGTTTCCTTTTCTGACAGATAGATCTCTGTGATAGGGGATATATTACCTAGGACCGTTTCCACCATTGCTGTTTGACCTCACCATGTCACACATATCAGCCATTCACTGTTTCAGGCATGCCAATATTGCACACATCTGTGCTCACATCGGCTCAACGCACTGCGCCACCAGCAGAGGCGGCCGCAGCACGCTAGCGGTCGCTGAACCAAGTGGGGGAGATGGCTCAATTCAAACATGTCGTCGAGGCGGCCAAGGCATCTGGAGCGGCAGAGTGGCTGCCACTTGTGGTGGAGAGACCTGACAGACCCACCCACACTCCTTCAACATCCCTCAGTGGTTTGGAGACTGGCATGCCGCCCGAGGTCTGGCGCGTCTTCCAGGACAGTCTCCAACAGCAGGATGGCGCAACGCCACAAAACGCCATCACAGCTAGGGACAGCGGGGCTGTCTCACACAGAGGAGCCGCACCCATTGCACCACCTCGAGACCTGGTTGCGTTTCTGACAGCCATTCACGGACCACAGAAGGGGAGAGTGGCCAGCCAAGTGGACACTTGCGACATCTCCGCTGTGGACACGACCAACATCCAGTCATGGACGCGTGATCGCCGCGCCACATACCACATGATTGTAGTGGGCAGCCAGTTTCTCACGACCACCGATGAACTGTGCGCCACTTCTCGGTCACACATACAGCTCGATGGCTCTCGGAACGTAGTGACCTGGACACTCCCCACTGGACCGCCGGAGACACAGGCAACCACCGTTGACGTGTCCTTGTGGTGCAGATGCCCAATCATGGGACAGCGGCTGTGCCCTTACCACAACATGGTGGAGCTGCTGAACCTCACAGATTCGAAAGGAGAGACAGATCGGCCATTCGTCCACATGACCCCGCCGACCTCCTCAAGAACATCGCCCACATGCTGGAGAGTTCCAGGACCTCAGAGCAGCCAGTCCAGACGGCGCCACCTTCAGGTTGTCTCCGCGCCGCAGGCGCACGTTTCTTGAGACGACTAGGTCTCAGCCCAACACTCATCACACAACTTGCTCGTTGGGACAGTGACACGATCTTGGGCGCCTTAGATTGCAGCCAGCTTAGCACCGATGTCATCCAGCAGAGGACTGGCGACTCTCCGGGTGACAGCGATGCAGAGATAGAGGCCTTGAAAGCCGGCATCCAGGCTGATATCTTGTCACTGGCACACCATTGCCATCAAATGATCCGAGAGACCACAGCCCTCAACCATGCCTGGTTGGCAACCGCAGAAGAGAAGCCGTAGCGACCTTGAGCACCTGGAAAGTCAGATCCACACAGAGCGCGAGACCGCGACAAGTCAAAAAAAGGGGAACCGCGCCAAGTCGGTGACACCTATAGGAATTTTATTTGTTTCTGCACTAACGCCCAGATCTTTTAGAACTCACACGGTTGCTCTTGAGTGCAAGAGCCCGGGTGGTTAGAGCTGGGCTACTCAGCATGCAGATCATGCATCATTTGGCCAGACCCTCACTGCATGTTCGATGTGAGTCCGAAGCTGATCAGCCATCAGTTTGGTTTTGTTTCCTTTCTGCTGCAGGTTGCCAGTTGGATTCCGACCGAATCTGCTGCTGCATCACATGTTCTGCTACACACTTTAGTTATGTTTGTGCACACCTGAGACACCCTGTCACTGTTTCTTTTGGTTAGGGTGCCGCCCTCACGCGACAGGGCAAAATTCTTTTTGCATCACAGAGGCCAGGTTTGTTGTGTGTTTTAAACATAACCGGCTCCCCCAGCCGAGCTAGGTGGGGGACGCCGTGCTAGTCAATTTTCCCTGACGGCAAGTGACCGTGTCTGTCACTCAATGTCCAGCGACGCACGCCCAGCGTCTGGCTCAGAAACACTAAGTTGTCCCTGCCGGACACTGTGGTGAGCCATGCCACCCGTCAGCCCTGAACTCCAGAAGCTGGCTGCTGAGGCTGGTGTGGATCACTCCGTGGTGCAGTACTTGCAGGCGCGAGGCATCTTGTCAATGGGGATCCTGGGGGCCCTGGCCAAATCCTTCGATGAGATTGATGCAGCAGTGGTCAAGCCGTTCATCGCCGGCCACGAGATAGCCGGTGTGACACACCAGGCTGCACCTGACACAGAACCCGTGGTGACCGCATCAATCAGATATCTATGGAAGAAGCGCTGGACGCAGCTCAACACCGTCCAACTTGTCAAGACCACGCCCATCATAGTGGGCCAAGCCCCATCGGCTGCCACAGCGCCCATGGAAATCCCAGCTGAAGAACTTCAAGAACTCGTTCAGCATTATGAGAACCAGATGATTGACGGAGAGAAGCGCTATACTTCCCCATCAAGATGCTGCTCGGCGCAGAAAAAGTGATCGCCAGGGCATGGCACGAGAATCGCACAGCCTCACAGACCCCCTTGCTGCTCCCAGAAATCCTAGTCCTGCGTCATTTCGACGCATCAGGCGGCACCAATTCGCTCGCAATCTCCTCGACAGAAGATCAGCAGAAATGGTCGCCCAAGGGCGTCCTCAGCCTCCTCGATGCCTTGGATGCAGTCATGTGGTGCTGGCTCCTGATCCGCATCGGGAAAGAGCCACACATTCTGGAATACATCCAGTGGTGGCGCCAATTGGTACGCGGCAAGTCCGCCAAGCTGGAACAGATCAAAAGTTACTGGGTGGACTGCGGATGGAAACTCGCCCTCGAGCCTCGCCAAGGCCGCAACTTCCGCGAGATCACCCAGGAACTGATGCTGGACCAACACGGGCTCCAGACAGCGCTGCAGAAAGACCCTTCCATCATGCCAAAAGCCCGTCCAGCACAGCCGTCAGCGCCAAGAGCCGGGCAGTATACCCACTCACCGGGGAATACACAAGAGACGGGCCACAACACACAGGGACAGAAGCGCTGGCGATCACAAGATCACAGCTGGCACTATCCCCAGAAGAAGTAGGCCCAGAAACCTAGCTCCAGGCGTGCTGACATGAATCGGCCCAGCATTCGCGAGGTCTGACGAGTCAGCCTACAGAAGGCACACAAAGTGCCTGCATCATTTCAACAGCACAGGAACCGACGGAACCGCCCGCCGGACGAACCAAAGCGGTTGCGGCCTGGAGACTTCCACCCAGAGATCAATGCATGGTATCTCAGTCAGAGTGTGTTCACAACTTCATCAACACTTCTTTGCTTTCATGCTGCTCACACGACGCACTTGCTGGAGGACATCACAAGCATTCGGCGTCCGTTGGCCTTTTGGTTTGACCAGCGTTCGCTTATGGATTTTGAAGATGGTTTGGACAGGTCTAGTTTGTGCACTATTGACACATCAGGTTTCCATCAGAATGTTGCCATTGATGAGCGACCCATAAGAAACGGATCGGACGTTTAAGTCGGTTTCCCAAGCAACTGCATTTCCTAGCCATGCCCGTCCGGGATAGTGACGTCACCCAGCCGAGCCAGGTGGGGACACAGGGTTTTCTTGTTTGTCATCCTGTGGAAATTGCCAGATGCCGGCAGTGAGGGCCCATCCTTGGGGAGACACCACAGAACACATCACTGACCTCCAACATTGTGTCTTATTGGGGATCTCACACAGGGGTCTGATGAATAAGCGTCTTACTCAGACACACAGCCACGTGATCTACCTGACAGGCACCGTTTCCCAGCCGAGCCAGGTGGGGACTCTAGAGCCTCACTCGAATAGCAGGGACACCCCTGCACACTGCCTGACCTGTGTGCAACCATCCAGTCACAACTGACTAGTGCATAATATTGGTTTCATAGGTTTCTGAGTCTCGCTCGCACCAGGAAGGTTTCCCAGCCGAGCCAGGTGGGGAACCCTGTGCATTTCATGTCTTCACTAAAGTAGTTGCTAGATCACTGCTCACCGAGTGACCTCTGCTGACGCGGGCCTTCGGTCTGGGCTCGGATTTTCCTTTACGTTTCTCTGTTTCCCCTCCCTCAGGACATGTTTCCCAGCCGAGCCAGGTGGGGAACCCAGGGCATCTCACTAATAATGGCCATGGCACCGTTGATGAAGTGAGTAGGCCCTCACCATCCTGTCACAAATGACTGGTGCATCAGGCGAGGGACCTGATTTCTGCGTATTCAGTGTCATATGAAACCAGCAGACATCGAGTTGAAGTGACACTCACGCCACAGGATATGGTTTCCCAGCCGAGCCAGGTGGGAACCCAAGGCCATTCATAGTGCCAAACACTGGTCCTCCCACGTAGTTTCACATTAGACAGTGGTCAACACCGACTACACGTCGTAACCGTCTACATGCCCTTCATGTCGCAGCCAAACCAACACTAGTGCCCTTGACTACAGAGTGTCAAACGTTTCAACTCGCAGGAATCTTCCCCAGATGGGCCAGGTGGGGCACCTAAGACCCTTCGCTGTGCGCAGAGAAATTGATCGACGCCACGGTGAGGTTCACAGAGGCTTCGAAGTGTTACAGACCTTGTATTAGCCCACCGGTACGTGTCATATGTCAGATGGCATGCGTTGGTTTCCCCCCTTGGTTTACGGTTGGTTTGTGATCCATCAAGCAGTCGGGCCACAACTGCCACTTTTGCTTCTTTGGAAAGAAATGCCAATCAATTTATCAACACTTGTTCCCAACTGTGCCAAGTCGAATATGTTGGGTTGCATTGACCCATCTGTGGTCCCTGACAACCCATTCAAGTCACTGCGGCTGCTCAACCCAGGCACATCCGGAAGGGCTGAGCGACTGAACATGGTGGCGCTCATTGGCCATGCAACGTCACATCACGAGGAGTGGGCTGCACCAGAGTGGCCAAAACATGGGTCTAGCCGACTGAATATGGGCATTGCAGCCACAGCCGCATCATCCCTGTGGCTACCTGATAGTGGGAATCCTGGGGTCCACACCACCTGCTCTAGTTTGTGAGCGGGGAGCCGCATCGACATAACGTCGCTGGAGTAGCAGAACCCAACGCGAATTTCTGGAAGACCACACAAGATCTGCCACAGTCCCAACAGTCCTCTAGCGCCTCACATTGAATCCGCCGGCACAGCGACTCCAAGGTGGGAAAGCTGATGCTGACCATCCTCCCACACAGACCCCCCTGCACTCATTGCCTTTTGGATGTGACGAGTATTTCTTTGCTGCACAGTGCGAAAATATGGCCACCACGAGTCGCACTACTATGGGTTGGATTTGACCAAAACAGCATCAACAGGCTGTTCTGGGTGCGACCGACAGGCAGCGAATCATCCAAAAGGAAGGCCTAGCGCAGACGATCAGTGTGGACGGAATGAGAGTGAGAGGCTGAAATGTTTTGTAGCACAAGTATTGTGCGTAGGAACATGAGAAGACTCGATGCCGAATGCCGAAGGTGTGAGGCTCGAGAAATTTCAAACCCACAGCCACCCACCCCAGCTGCCAGTTGCACAGAGCGGCCTGCCGGTGCGGGTTGGATTTGACCAAAACAGCATCAACAGGCTGTTCTGGGTGCGACCGACAGGCAGCGAATCATCCAAAAGGAAGGCCTAGCGCAGACGATCAGTGTGGACGGAATGAGAGTGAGAGGCTGAAATGTTAGTAAATTGCACGACCTTCCTGATACTCCTGCTGCCTCGTCTTACAGTAACTTGCCAGATGTTCCTGATACGTTGTAGCATCTTCTTCGGGTGACTTGCAGCACGTTCCTGCTACATTGTGACATCTTCTGCGCGGCCCTGTCACATCTTCTTCAAGTCCCTTGAATGATGTTCTTGCTATGTTGCAAGATCTTCGTCAAGTAGCTTGCAATACATTCCTGATACGTTGCAACATCTTCCTACTTGTAAGTAAATTGCACGACCTTCCTGATACTCCTGCTGCCTCGTCTTACAGTAACTTGCCAGATGTTCCTGATACGTTGTAGCATCCTCTTCGAGTGACTTGCAACACGTTCCTGATGCATTGTGACATCTTCTGCGCGACACTTCCGACATGTTCCATGCATGACGTTGTCACATCTTCTTCAAGTCCCTTGAATGATGTTCTTGCTATTTTGCAACATCTTCGTCAAGTAGCTTGCAATACATTCCTGATACGTTGCAACATCTTCCTACTTGTAAGTAAATTGCACGACCTTCCTGATACATGTGTCACCTCGTCTTACAGTAACTTGCCAGATGTTCCTGATACGTTGTAGCATCTTCTTCAAATGACTTGCAACACGTTCCTGATACATTGCGACATCTTCTGCGCGACACTTCCGACATGTTCCACGCATGACGTTGTCACATCTTCTTCAAGTCCCTTGAATGATGTTCTTGCTATTTTGCAACATCTTCGTCAAGTAGCTTGCAATACATTCCTGATACGTTGCAACATCTATCTTCCTACTTGTAAGTAAATTGCACGACCTTCCTGATACATGTGTCACCTCGTCTTACAGTAACTTGCCAGACTGATACGTTGAAGCAACTTCTTCAAGTGAGTTCAAACATGTTCCTGATACATTGCGACATATTCCTGATACGTTGAAACATCTTCTGAAAAGTGACATGCAATTCATATGATCGAATCAAAATGTCCTGCTCATCATCTCTGTCACACCTGTTGCAGTCATATTCAAAGACTTCTATGTCACTTTCTATTGGTGCTGCCATCATATTTCACAAACGTAGGCGTAAGCGAGTAAAAACGTAGGCTTAAGCGAGGTACTGACCCTGATTCTCGGACCTTCTCGGACCAGCTTGAATAATTCAAACATAGAGAGACCATGAGATTGCCATTCGAAACCGTAGGAACATCAGATGATGATCTTTGACTTTTTCAAGAATAACTATTTGAGTTTGGAACTGTTGAATTTCTTGGCAACTGGCAGACTCAGGAACGGCCTGCGCTACTTGAACTCCGCTGGTCGAAAGATCATCCACTACGATATCAAGCCTTCTAATTTGTTTTACAATGCAGGGCAGGCCACTTCTGACAAGTTGACACAGGGAAGGAATATGTCGTGTCATATGTTGATGGCTCTGTAGCACAAGAATGCAAGATGATGTGCCGTAGCAATTCGTATGAAAACGGCCAATGTTCATTTGTGCTGCATTGTCTTTTGATTCTTTTGTTTGCAGGTGAAGATAGGTGACTTTGGCCTTTCCAAAATAGCTGACAGCCCGGAGCCCATGCTTTTGGATCCTGAGAGAGCACTGAAGCCAATGACATCATTTCACGATATGATGGGAGCAATGACCAGTTCGTTCATTTCACTGTATGTCAGTATGTGTATATATACGTATATATATATATATATGTGTGTGTGTGTGGCACATATGTGACATATGTCACTATATTATATATCTATATTTCAGTGACTGTTTATTTCTGTCCACTGGGGATCACGATCCCCAACTAACCACTGGCATTGTGCGTTGAAGCTACCAGCCATGATTACAATGATCAAGGTCCAGAGGGCATGATCGACTTGTCCAGCCTTGGAGCTGGCACCTCCTGGTATTTGCCACCTGAATGTCATGAGATGACATCGCCCACCGTAAACAGCAGCTTGGCCACAATTTTGCGATTCACATAATAACTTTCCATACTGAGAGTTCTGATACTTTGTGACAGCTTGTGATTGTGACAGTTTGGTGGTTTTGCAATCAGGCAAAGTGGATGCTGCCTCCTCAGTTTGGGATTCATGGCGCCATGATGTGCCATGCATTCCATTGAAATATTCCATTGAAATGCCCTGAATTCTGCAGCTGTTCAGCTTGTGAGAGATCAGGTTTGGAGCACAGGAGTCGTCTTTTTCGTCACTTGGCTGTGAGTCATGTCGAAGAACCTTTCAGCTTTGACAGATTTCTGTCTTCAGCAATAGCACTTTCAGAATGGCAGACTTGAATGAGTTTCTGAGTTTGATGTGCTGCAAGATACTGTACGCTTTTGGATTTGCTTTCGGCTCAGACGCTGCGACGCGATAGGTTCCACATGTTTTCTTGCTGCCGCAAATTGCAGCCTCCAGGATGAGTATGCATACCACCCAGGAGTGGGCGCAAAGCGCTCACTACAATATGTACCAAGCACAGGCCACACATCGAAAGGCTGTGGATCAGCAGGATCGCTCCAGCCGGGCTCATGAAGAGGTGATTTCCGACAATCTGGGCATGCAGCCTGGATGGAAAGAAGGTGCTGCTTTCTGTAGTCCTGCGATTTTTGAAAGGCCCATTTGAAGCCATGAAAGCATGTCATGTATCCATCTATCATAAATCAATGGTTATTTATATGGTAGGTGGATGTGTGTGTGTGATTTGACTCATAATTTCGACATGTTCAACCCTTGCCTCCCAGGTACAATGAGCTACACAGCTCCTTGGAACAAAAAGTGAGGACCTCGCAGAGGCTAGTTGAGAAGCTTCAGCTTCGTGCTCAATCCGTTGAGAACTCCCTGCAACATACCAAGCAAACCTTGGTGAAGTTGGAGGAGGCTTTGGTTGCCAAAGATGCACCGCTTACGCTCTGCGCTTGGCGAATGGAACAGAGAGAACGGCGGCCATTGCGGGAACAAGTTCGTGATGCAGCAGAAGTTTGTCTTGAGACTCGGTGAAACGACATGCCTTCATTTCAATTCACAAGAGTTACATAAATTCACCACATGAAGAACTGAAAAACTGTTGAAGGGTTGCACTGTTAACGGTAAAGCTGCTTCTTACATTATTACATCCTTCAGCCTTCAGCTCAGGAAATGGAGAAAACCACCTTGATTGATGCTCAAGGGAAGTTGAAGGAATTCATTAAGAAGACCAGGGCAGCCATCACTTCCTTGGAGGGCAAATTAGAAGAACTTCGATATGACATCCAGCAGAAGAGTCAAGCCCTTTCTGTGGATGAGCTGTGCCTCCGCACCACCTCCCGAAGTTTGGAAACGGTGTCCGAGCGCAGCACCTTCCTCCGGCAAGGCGGGCAAGGAGCCAGTTCAGGATGTTCAGGCAGCCGCAATCTGCCAAGCAAAATACGCGGTGGAGCCCAATCAGCCAGACATGAAGTAGCATCACAGGAAGGTTCCCGCAATGAAATTTTGAGGCAGCAAGAAGCCTTGAGGTTGAATCAATCAGCTATCCATCGTGAGCAAGCAGCAAAAGAATTGCGAGAAGAGGCATCCAAATTGATTCAGCGTGTGGCACGAGCTGCTGAAGATGCCACCGCCAAGACAGACAAATCAATGAAGGACCGAGTGAATGAGAATCAGCAGATGCGGAGGCGCTTGGAATCAGAGCTACGTGAAACATGCAACCAGATCAACGTTACCAAGAACACCATCCAAGATACTAAGACACAAATCCGATCATTGGAAGAGCCTATGGAGTTGACTTCCACATGTGCATCCTGGCGTCAGCAGCGCGCTTCAAGGGAAAAGACCCAGGATCCTGTGAGTAGCACCCTGCAGCAACATCAGATGATCCTGCTGAGGTGTCATGAGGACCTGAGACAGCATCATCAGAATGAGAAGAATATCCTGCAAGAATTGCAGGAAAAAAAGGAACAGTTGAAAGAAGACCTTCAGGACAAGACCTGTGCTTTGCACATCGACCTGAACTGCCTCACCCATGAGGCCACCTGCCTGAATGGCAAGCCCAGTCCAGCCATCAGCCGTCAGCGACTACCAAAGGCTATGAAGGTGGACCCCACCTTTGTCCCAACTCCAGGGGCCCACGCGGTCACCCACCTGCCATTGACGGCCCGGTGAGATCCAGTGACGCAATGAGTCGATTTGCTGATGGCCAGCTGTGTTTAAAGCGGTGATGTCGAAGGCACACCAAGCCATGCTTCGTTTCAGCCTCGACAAAGTCGATTGAGCCGTTTCACGGGGCAAAACTGGTGAGATCTAATGAGAATGCAAAGGTTTGAAAAAGTGTTTGACCGTGCCTCCTGCTGCGGTGACAATCGAATGATGCCATATAGTGAATCCACAGTCCTCAATTGTCCTCAATGCAAAAACGAGAACTATGGACGTATGCGATTATGGTGTAGCTTATGATATGTTATGGTATGTTGTGACATGTCTTGCCGTATGTTGTTGAGGCAACGCTGTAATGCAATATCATCTTACGCAATGGGGTGCAATTTATAAAACATATGAATGCGCGCATTGAACTGTATCGACAACTATTCAAGGAATACGTGCGCATGACCCCTACGATCATTGTACGACTCCATGGAATGACTGAGGAGCTGCTTTTCAACCGTCGACCTTTTGGCGAGGGCCAAACACAGGACGCCTTCCGGCGACAGACAGCGGTGGAAGGCACCTTCGATATAGTCTCGCGGCCAGGTTTGCCTAATCAAAGGAGAGGCAGGTTTCGGAGATACTAGTACTGGTAAGCTTAGTCAATCTTAATAATTTTATTTAAATTTGATGATGTCGACTATAATTACCTCTTTGTTTCTTTTTACATATTTTACATCATTGTACATTGCATTTGCTTCATATACCATCCTGCTGCACTATATGCATTTGTTTTAGGGGTTGCCAGCTGGTTATGAATTCAGGACCACTGTGCGTAGATTGCTGTACTGAGTGGCGTGCTTCTGTTTTCTCATTGCCTCAGCACATCGGTTCACTATCAAAAAAGATCAGATATTCCCAGGTCCGTTCATCTCACTCCGCACAGTGATTTTCCAAGGTTTTTCCAGCATCACCAAAAGTTTCGGCCGAAGCAATCAAATTTCTTCGAGCCTTGGCTAATTATTGGGGAAGCTGGCACCGGAAGCTGCCACATCTGCCACTAACAGGGCAGTGAAGGCAAGGAGATGAGGACTTGGTATGGCGCTGTCTTCTCTTTTCCTAAACGTGCTCCCAACCCATCCAATGTATTCCAATGTCACATAATGATTATTAATGATTCATAATGTCACTGAATCCCGCCCCAATTCTTTTTACAACTGAGTTGAGGCCGGCTTCTGACCCGAGATCGGGATCAGAGGCCAGATGTGCTGGAAGCTATTCGAGACCCTTACATCCGGAAGACTTGGACAGATCAGTCAGCTCGGGCTCGCAAGTGAGATCATCCCTTGCCTACGTTTCACTTTCGGAAAGTCAAAGCTGCCGGTTTATATGATTTATTGATGGTCAGACGGGACAAATCATGACAAATCCTGCATCTTTGCTGCCCTCTTCGTATAGTTGTCCTGCGCTGGATACTTCTTCAGGATTCTTCTTCAATTCAAGGATTTGAGGAAGCGAAGATTGTTCTTTGCGCAAATTAAGTAGAGGCATGTCCCCAAATGTGACTTGTCGCAAGTTCCTGTAGCAGCGGCAAGTAACACATGTCGCACGACGTGGACATGCTGTGTGAATAGCTTCGGATGTGCCGGTGGGATGTGTTAATGATCAATTGGTTTAGCGTTTGTGGGTAACTTACAAATGCACAGGGGTAACATCCAAGAATCGATACTCCATTCAGAAATTCAGTAGAACCCATCGACATATCCCCTTTTTTAGGAATGATGGCCAGTAGTCGCTGAGCGGGCTTTGTGGCATCCACTGTCAAGATATCTCCCTACAAGAGGGGAAGAGGGAGATGACTGGGGGTTTGCGGAATTTCCCAACCAAAAATAACAAAACACTTCAATAATCAGTACACAATTGCGTCATATTTTTTCATACCATTTGAAGAGAGAATCTAAGCAATCCTGAAAATATATGAAAATATGCTTATGACTTAGTACACAGGAATATACAATAATATACATAGGTCAAGAGATTAAAGTTTAATCATAAGAATATTCTTGATCTAAATGTCATATATTTACATGTCAATAACCTGCGTCGACCATATACCAAGGAAATTTGAAGACATACATATGTATATATATATTGTATATATATATATATAGGGTGATCGATCTAGAGGTCCTTGTACGGAGTTTCAATTGCGAAGACCCTACATGTTATGTTCGGAACCCTCGCGAAAGTGTTTTTCGAGTTCGCGAAAGTAATCGTTTATTCGCGAAAGTCTTGCGAAAGTTGGATATTATTAGTCATTATTGCCAATTATTGTATATAACTTGTAAAGGGCTACCACTCCTGCCGCCCGGGGTCCGGCAGGAGAAGGGTACCAAAGAATTTCGGTTTGGTTCTGGTTCAGTTCCCTGTGTGATACTTTTGGACATTCACCTTTCCCAGCAGCCGACTTCGCCACAGCCAAATACTGGTACTGCCCAATGGATCCCAATGGTGCTTTTGTTTGAGGAAGCAAGCTCCACACGCAGCAGTCAAACTTCCAAAAGTTAGGCTTTGCGAGAGCCAAACACCAAGGCGCCTGCTGTTTGCTTTTCCTTTGATGCGCCCCCTGCTGATGGGGTCCGCGAATACATATATATATATATAATATTTATATATATAAATATATATGGATATTTTCGGGTAAGTTCCGCGAAAGTTATGCGAAGGAGCGGGCGACAGTTAAAGTGCATTCTGACGGGTGGCCCAGTGAACCTTGCATAGAGGACACCCTAAAAGATAAACATGGGGTTTGTGTAAGTATTTTTTCTTTCGCGAAGAATGGCCGTTTCCGGGTATAAGGAATATTGACTAACAACCATATATATATATATACACATAAGATTTTGCAATGGATCTGGGGTCTCTGGAAATGGATTCTTGGGTCTTTTCAAATATGGTGGAATTGAATTGTATTATAGGTACTCTAAGTTGTGGAAGTCAAAGCGTTTCAATGAAATGTGCGTCCTAGGTGGGGGAGAAATTTCTGGAAGTCGGCGTGATGTTGCGTCCAGTTGGTGTTTATCATGTTTGTGTTTTCTCCAATTGATGGTTGATCATGAGTTTTTCATGGATACCATGCAGATGGTTGTAGCTATTCCCTTGTGTTTTGGGAGTTTTAGCTTTGTAATTTGTAACAATGGAATTGTACATCACTGAACGGTGTCCTGTTGTCCTTGGACAGTTAGGCAGGCGGTGATGATGTAGCTCCGATTGGGTAGGCATTTGCGGCTCGCTCTGTTGTGCAAGATTCATACAAACACCGACGAATACTGGGTCGATATTGTAACAAGTGCCGATGACAAGATCTTGTGCCAAATCGTGGTGTGCCTATGGGGAAAGGCCCACATGGGCAGCGCCTGTGACTTTAACTTACTGATGTATTTTTTGGCGCTTTGCATAGGCACACGATGCTTACTTGTCATATCTTTTTGGGTTTGCCCACTATATTCCTAAAGATGAAAGTCGTGGCAATTATATACTTGTTTGCCAAGCTTGCGTCCCTTTGTCTCCCCTCTGTCTCCCCTCTGTCTCCCTTACTCGCCCTTTGTCTCCTCTTCTTTCTCCTTGCTCTTGCC